ACAACAACAGTTAAATGGCCTCAAAATCAGCTCATCAAACGTCATCACCATGGACCAGTCACAAGCCGATAAAATTCTCGGTATGTATTGGAACTCCAATCACGATGTATTCGAATTTCATTTCAGGTTCTACAAGATATGTCGTGAGGTTATCCAATGCATACGTGGGCCAACCAAACGAGAATTGCTTGCCATAGCCATGTCTATTTACGACCCCTTTGGCCTCTTGGCAAATGTCACTATTGTCGTTAAGATTCTTATCCAAGCTACATGGAAACTGAAAATTGACTGGGATGAGTATTTGCCACCAGAACTAGAAAAGCAGTGGATAATGTGGTGGTCGGCGTTTCAGAGCGTGAAAGAGTTTGTGGTCCCAAGGTGCATTTCCCCTCGCTACTCAACAGCAGATGACATACAGCTACACATCTTCGTAGATGCAAGTGACACCGCGTATGCTGCGGTGGCATATCTACGTATCAAGCAAGGTGATAGCATCGACGTAGCGTTTATATCTGCAAAGTCAAGGTGTGCTCCCAAAAGAGAAACGTCAGTACCACGATTAGAATTGCAAGCTGCTGTGATGGGTAGCCGCCTGAGAATCTCACTGGAAGAGTGCTTAGAGCGAGAAGTTCACAGTGCCACATTTTGGAGCGATTCCAAAACGGTCCTGCTATGGATTCGCTCAACCAAGCGCGAATTCAAGCAATTCGTCGCCAATCGTATCGCAGAAATATTAAGCAGTACGACACCTGCGCAATGGCGGTGGATACCATCTGCAAGCAATGTGGCAGACGCAGCTACAAAAATTAAGCCATCACCAATATGCCAATCCGACTCGATATGGGTAAAGGGTCCAGATTTCCTGTATTCAGACGAAGACATGTGGCCGAAAGAACCTCTGCACCTATATTCAGAACATTGTGCCAAAGAAGAGTCCAAGAAATGTATGCTAGTTACAGCCAACAAAGCGGTACACATTATAGAAGTACACAAATTTTCGTCGTATCTAAGACTGTTAAGAGTAACTGCCTGGGTTAAGCGCTTCGTCGGTAACTTGCAAGATAAGCAGCACCAACGAGGAGAACTCACAGCCGAAGAGCTAAATAAAGCCGAAATCTACATTTGCCGACAAGTTCAACTTGAAGTTTACCATGAAGAAATCAGTATTTTACAAAATAAGAAATGTTTGCCGAAGTCAAGCGCACTATACCAGCTTACGCCAAAGTTGGATGATGATGGCGTCTTACGTATTAATGGTAGAATCGACGCAGCCTATTGCTTACCATATACAGCTCGCCATCCAATAATACTGCCAAGTAGCCATTACCTTACGACCCTAGTGATGGATCACTTCCACAGGAAAAGACATCATCATAACGACCAATTAACAATTAACGAAATGCGACAGCATTTCTGGATACCACGGTCCCGTTGCCTCTTAAAAGCAGTTAAAAGAAAATGTCCTGTATGTATTCGCAGTAGCGTTAAGCCAGTTATGCCGCTGATGGGTCAATTGCCTCCCGATCGCCTCACGCCATATGTACGACCGTTTTCATATGCGGGTGTTGATTACTGTGGACCATTTTTCGTTGCCATTGGCCGTCGCCGTGAAAAGCGCTGGGTAGCGCTATTTACATGTCTTACCACGCGAGCGGTGCACATTGAGGTCGCTGAAGATCTGTCAACCGACGCCTTTATTATATGTCTGAGGAATTTCGTCAACCGCAGGGGTGTACCTGTTCGCCTGAGAAGCGACAATGGCACAAATTTTATTGGGGCGCAGCATGCACTCGAAAGGGATCAGCAACTCTTCGATTTCGATGTCATACAACAAGAAACCGCTAAGGAGAGAATCGAATGGGTTTTCAACTGCCCGGCTCATCCAGCATCAGGAGGATGCTGGGAACGTCTGGTGCAATGCGTTAAGCGCATTCTCCAGAGGGTCCTCAAAGACGAAGCACCACGCCTTGAGACATTCCGCAGCGTACTTATAGAGGCGGAAAACATAATTAATAGCCGTCCTTTGACAGATATCCCGGTGGCAGTCGACAATCCTGAGCCATTGACACCGAATCACCTTTTACTGGGCTGCTTAAACTCCACACAGACACCAGCGGCAAGCCAGGAAAACATCTGCTTACGCAAACAATGGCGCATAGCGCAAAATTTAAAAAACCGCTTGTGGAAACGGTGGATAAATGAGTATTTGCCGCAACTGCTCACTCGTCCGAAATGGCGCGAAGAAGTCCAGCCATTTAAGGTGGACCAGTTGGTTGTGGTATGTGACCCGCAACTACCAAGAAGTCAGTGGAAAACGGGTCGTATTACAGAGGTCTTCACTGCGAAAGACGGGCAGGTGCGAAGTGCAACAGTACAGACGAGCCACGGCCTCCTGCGTAGACCGGCATGTAAGCTAGCCGCTTTAAAGCTGTGAATTCCCAAGGATTCACGGGGAGGTGGAATGTAACTGCACCATTAGCATCTTAACAAAATACTTCCCTGTGCGTTGCTGAATATTATACTCTCTTTCTTCTCATCATTATTCTTATTTATGCCATTTCATGCATTTTTATCATTCGCCTTTTATCCTTATATTCATTCGTTCCTTTAATCTATTCGTTGTGAACCATTCGATATAATTTGAAAGTTCAGTTAAGTACTGGACGCCACCAAAGTGTAACACGCTTACGCGTTAAATTGTCAGTTAATAAAGACAAAAATATACTTAATAAATTTCGTTTTAGTTTAAATTTGAAAAGCTAAAGTTTCGCCGACATAAGTTTACACTTTGCGTCCAACCTAGCTAGCCACCATCATAGTGATCGGAGTCTTTTTCGAGATTCATACGAAACCGTCGCCTTGTAAACGTCGTGCATAGCCGCACAAATCACAGCGAGTCAATCTGTACGCAGTCAGCGTTTCGAA